ACCCCAGGACAAATGGGGACCCAACACCCTTTAAATGAGAAAAGCAAGTGAATTCAGTGGGGGCAGCAGCAGCGCTGGGAGCAATGTGGGCTGTTAGCAGCATTTCCTGGGGTGGTAATGGGAGCAGCAGCAGCAAAGAGGATGGCTCCATAGGGAAACAGTGATGGCAGCATGTGGAAAGGACCGTCCTGGAGAGTACCACTGCCTTGCACCTTCTTCTAAAGGAGACTTTCAGACAAGTTAGAGCCTTTTTTTCTACTAGGCTATGCTTGCTAAGGGAATTTCTTTGCCTTCCAATAGCAAACACATGCTGGGCAGTGAATCTGATCAGCGTGGTGTGCACCACGCAGCACCAGGGCTCTGCACACACGTGTTTTACCCCTGCACGCTTGTCAAGGTCGCTGTCGGCATCTAGCACAGCTTGTCTGCAGTCAGTTGTTAATAAAACCTGACAAGCCCCGCTTGCTCTGCAGTGCCCGCAGGAGTTAATGATTAAACTTGAGCTAGGGCAGTGTGCTTCGAGCAAGGCAAATACGTTATCACTGCACATAAACCCCTGTCCAAGGAACAACAATGAGCCTTTCTGGCTCTTGCGCCACTTAAAGGGTATTTGGAAACAAGGAACAGCTGGGATCTCTGGAAGCAGGAGCATGCTCGCGCCCCTGCCTGACCAAGAGCATGGATCTGAAGAGCAGGACTGAGGAGCGTTGAATGTAGTTTGGTTCTAAGGTATCCAGTAAATCGGGGTCGCTGGCAAGTAAAGCAAACCCAACCCAAAGCAGGAAACCCCTGCTCGTTTGAACACAGCAGGAGTCAGCAGTCAAAGGCTTGAACGTGTTCGGTTTGGTTTTTGCTGTATCTGCAGGTCGTTATTTCCCCGGTGCTAAGCACCACACACTGGAGCTGCCGTGGCAGCGTTCAGGGTAGTGGGGAGAAAGGCAGAGTGCATCGGGTCAAACCCTGCACTAGGCTACCCTGGGCATGGACAGGCATCACCCAGACCGTGTGGGTCTGAGAGCTCTGGTTCACCAAAGGACACCGGTTGCACAGTCACGTTCGAGCATGATGGTGCTGCACATCAGCCAGCCCTTGGCTCGGGGGAGCCAGGAGGACACTGGTTTTCAGGGGATGCTGCTCCTATGCTTGAGACTGCTGAAGCCCAGCAGCACTTCCAGCACACCTGACTGCACAAAGGCCTGGTTTATCACAACCACCAACAGGCTCGCAGGGTTTCCACATGCCTACAGGGATTACGGCATCGCTGCTGAAGCAGCAGCCTGTGTATTAAACACAGCGTGTGGCTGGATGAGTCCTCACCCCGAGGTCCTGCACAGACCCTTGTGTGGTCACTTGTGCTGGATGGGGCAATAGGAATACCAAGTGCCACTGCACAGGAACACTCCCCACACCTCCTCTGTTTGCCACGCATTCCTATAATAAACCCCACAAAGCATTGAATGAAGCAATACTCCTTGGAATAGGGGTAATGTGTCCCTCCTTCTGCAGGAGTTGGAGTTGGAGGGGGCTCTTTTCATCATGTGAGCAGGGAAAAGGCAGAGACTCAGCTGCAGGTTATTGCCTAAACCCCATTGGAACATGGTTAAAGGCTCTTGGACATCTACAGTCCCCTCCCACAGATCCGGAGCGACTCCAGTGGGTCCATGGGTCTCCCAGCCCAGGTCTAACGTTCTCCAGCTGCAGACATGTGAGGCCAGCAGTAACCAACCCATCTTCCCAACCTCCCGTGGGACACCAAGGCTCCCTGCTGACACCACCAGAGCACGGTGACAAAGCCTGCTATTAAGACAACCCATTTCTCCTGGAGACTTCCCAGCAGAGCTGATGTGCTTTGATACCACCGGGATTTAACGAACCCCTTCTCCTCAATTCAACCTTTGTAATGAAAGATGTGCACAAGAATGCTTTTACTTGGGATAGTAGGTCTTGACAGGCTCATGTAGACATAGAAATGATACGTCTGAGCCACTGTGGGACTGATAGTTAGGAAGCAGATGAATACTCCATGCAAGATGCAAAGCTGAGTGTTTCCTTTGGGTCATTTCTAGCATCGTCGCACCGCATAAACACAGTGTGTGCAGTCTGCATTAAGGCATTGAGGGTGCATCTACCAGCTCCCCAGGTTACTGCTGCTCTATTAGGATCTCTCTTCACGGCTGGTTTTTGGCTGGGGTCTGCTGAGATTTTGCCTCCTGAGCACAAACCAAACAGCTTATGCACAGAATTAAGTAGTGTGAAGGCTGCTTTCGGAGGTACCCAGACAAGAGAACTCAGCTGGAATCCGGCTGAGCCTGGAGATGGATTTGCTTTCTACTCTTGCTTTGCTCGTGTCCACTTCCCAGATACCCCCAACTGCTGTTAATTGGCATTAATAGCCTGGAGCAGCCTTTCCCTTGCCTCTTAGCGCTGGTGGAGCACAGCTGAGGCAGTCAGTAGCTCTGATCACCCACCACCTTTTTCCCTTATAAAAGAGAGGCTCATCCCCTGTTCTGACTCCTGCCAGTCAGCAAACTGGAGCTGCTGCTGCTGTGATAGCTCTGACATCAGGTCGTTGTGATGAACCCAGGGGCGCTTGGCTGAGGAACAGCTCGATGCTGGAGACTGCTGATGAGAGATGTTCTTGGGCTGGAGCAAAGGTAAATCTCTTCCTTTGAGTCAATGGATTATGGGTTATGTTACAGTAGCAGAGTGTGCTCCTTGCTGCCTGGCACAGAGGGAGTGCTCCAGCAGGCCAGGGCTGGGGAGCAATTACCTGGGTGATAGATGATGCTGTGAGTGATGCTGCTTCCCCTGCGAGCAAAGCAGGGACAACTGGTGCTGCCTGTGGGATCTGCAGGCTTCAACCTGCCCCATGTGCAGGCAGGCAGCAGGAGAGGTTCCACCCAGCTCAGGCCGTGGACTTTCAAGTGCAAATCATTGGCTTTAAAGGCAGTGAGAGCACAACAGAAATGAAAGCAGAGAGGGAGGTGCAATACTAAGCTGTGGGTGAAGGGGTCAGCTCTCTGAATCCTGTGCTTCCACGGTTTAATGGTGCTTTTTCATCCACACGCTCCTCTCCTCTGACCATCCCTTTTTATCCACTGCTGATTCCAGCATTGTGCTGCTGAAGGCTCTTAGTGCACATCCCTTGCATAATGTAGATGCATGATTACTGCAGCCTTAAAGGTAATCTCACCTTGTTTACCTGATGAGAAAGGAGAGCATTAAGGTACCTTTGCAAGCATTTTTGGCCTGAAACAGAACCTGAACTTCCCCTAAAAGCACCCGGTTTTGGAAACAAAGGGCTCTCTTCCAGTCCTTTATTTAGAACCAGGGGTACTACAGTGTAACACACGTGTCAAGCATGAAAGCTGAGTTTTGGTTAGACTTCCTTGCAAAAACCTCGCTTCCAAAGATTGCTTATTGAGCTGTGATGGGGCAGAGGGATGCTCATGAATAGGAGCAGTGCACACGGCTCAGGTAGTGTAAAATGGGAACAGAATAAACTAAAACAGCAGCCACGGGAGATCAGGGTCATTCCTCTGGGAATGAACTCCAGATCCGTGCCTTTCCATGGGAAGTGCTTCTGCTGCTGCTGGGCCCTCTGGGTTGGATCACTCACGATGGGCAATCCTGTTCAATCCTGCAAGCAAAATAGAGCGTTTTACAGGCTAGATGTGTTTGCAGCTATTGGAAACGGAGCTGTTATCCCCTCGGGCTCTGTGACTCCCGGTCTGGGACCTTATGCAAGAGCTTACACATGACTCTGCTCCGTGCCACCCGGAGAGGAGCCCTGCTGCTGGTGGATGGATCCTGCTCTCACGGCCACCTCTCAGCTCCACGGAGCTTTTTGGAGTGTCAGGGGTCAGCTTCCTAAATCCAAGCTGCTCATTCTGCCTCCTGCTTCAGGCACAAGCAGGCAGCTAGGGAGGAAGGGGACGGGATGGTGGTGGTGTGAGCATCCAGTTGTAGGCACAGAGCAGCCCCCGTGGCTTTGTCCATGCGTTAGCCTAGAGCTCACAGGTTACACCCTGTGTGAGGGTACCTCAACCCTCCCTGACCAACCCCCAAACCCATTAAAACACCGGTGATGCTCCAGGCATGTGGCAGAGTTGCATCTTCAGCCGTGCTGGGGCTAGAGCCATCCCCACAACCACCTAGGTCTGGGGTGCAGTTATCTCCCATGGCCTGCATCTGTGCAGCAGCCTGCTGGTCCTGCCTGGCCACTACTGACCCAGCTCCAGGCTTGAAATAAGGTGCGGGGCTCAGGCTGGATGAGTTAGTAACCTTCCATAACAGAGGCTCCTTCCCCCTCTTGGAGCCAATGTACATACAACGTGGTGCTTGCTGAGCAACCTGCTGAGGTTTTGGGTAGACCCTAACCCATGCAGCCTCCAGTTTCCTCCCTGAGGCACAGGTTTGTGTTGCTGCTGGCCAGCCCAGAACTAGTTTAGTTAATTGCTGAACTACAGACAAGCATTTCCCTGCTGCCATGAGGTGTAGCTCATCAGACATCGTTCTCTCATTCCTTGGATTCTTTACATGGCTCAGTGCTATGCCCGCCGCTTGTGCACACCTTTGTTGTGTGAAATGATACAGCTTTTGCAGAAGGATGCCCTCCCCTCCTTTCCATGCAAACCAAAGCTCCTGATGCCTGTTTGGAGAGGAATCAGAAGCCCTGCTCTGGGTTTTGTCAGCAGGAGCCTGTTTAGTATTCACAACACTCTCTTGGAAAGCTGCTTGTACTGCAGGGTCAGTGATGGAAATGATTTAGTGCTGTAGAAGACTTTGTATTTACTTACTGCACTGGAAGCACTTGCACAAAATCTCATCTCATGTGGGTCCTGGGTTGCAAGAGGCCCAAGTATTTGGTTCAGACTCATTTGCAAAGCCCAGCTGCGTGGGGCACCCCCACTCCTCAAGTCAAGACATACTGAAGGTTTAAACTCATTGCTTAGCTTTACCAGAGCTTTGACTGCAACATCCCTCTGTATTACAAAGCCTTTTTTGGATCATACACAAGTTTATTACAGAAATAAACCACCTTTGTCATAAAAGGTGTGCAGCATGAACACTGACAGCATCAGCTGGGTCTGAGTGATGGGAGAAGAGTTTGAAAGGGGCTGAAATGGTGCTGTTTCAGCCTTGCATCTCTCCTTTGGGGCAGCACTCCTGGGTCTGCCACCAACACAACCTGTTGTTTGTTCATTGTCACTCCACAATGAAGATGGATGTTTGTGTCTAAGTGCTGTATCCAGGGTGTCAGGGATGGATGTGAGCGTAGCCTCGCAGTGGGTGTGAAGCCAGCCAGGCCCTGAGGAGCACTTGTGCATGGGGAGCATCACTGTGTCCCCTCCATTGCCCGTGGGTCTGATGGTTTTGTACATGGCAGTGGTGGCTTTTGGGAGGCACTTGTATGGGGCAGGTGAGTGCTCAGGCCTCAAAGGCTTTGATAAAGTTAATAAAAGACCACAAAATCCTAAAGGAGCAGCAGAGTCCAGTACTTCTTCCCAGAGAGGCTTTATCCACAGGTAATGCCTTGTAAAATGAGCCAAACCCCTAATTCCATGGCTTCCCTGTTCCAGTGAATCCCCAAGTGCATTAAAGACTTTGTAGGAGAATACGCCCCATCCGCATGCTGAGCGATGCCTCACATAAATAGCTCCTATACATTTGCTATATACAAAACGTGATGTGCACGTGGTGGTGCTTCATTTGGTGATGCTCCAAATACCTCTCGTGGTACCTCCCCCAAGACGCTGAGGCGAGAGGTCGCAGCAGAACATGGTTATGGGCGTGCTGCCTGAGGACAGGCAGTGACAGCACTTGGATATGGGGGGACAGCCGCTTGCCCAGCAGCCCCACTGCCCACGGAGCTATTCCTTCAGCAGCCCAAGCTTCTTCAGCGCCTCTCGCCGGTTCTCATCCGCGGCACCCTTGGGGGAAATCTTGACGCTGACAGAGGAGCGGGGTGGCCTGGGGAAGCTCTGCAGCGGGTGCGATCGCCGCTTGCTGCTCTTCTCCTGCTCCGCCTGCCCCGGCTCTTTCAGACCAGCAAAGTCCTTCCCCGTCCCAAGGGACACCGGCCTGGGGCGGCTGCTCCTGAGGAAGCTGGGGGCGAGCCGCTCGATGAAGGACATCTTGCCCAAGGAGCTGCTGGTCTTGACGCTCTGCTCCTTGGCGCTGGCCATGTAGCTGCTCAGCCCTACCCCGGAGCGCTCCAAGGTGTTGGATTTGAAGGTTATCTGCCGGGCACCCGGCACCGACCTCTCCGCTGCCCCATTGCCTGCTTCGGGCTCCGCAGGGGTGGGGAATGGCACCTCCTTCGGGTGGGGATGTGCCGTAGGGTGAAGGTGGGCGCTGGGCTCCCTCCTGTCCTGCGACAGTCCAAGCTTCTCCAATGCCTCCCGCCGGGCTTTCTCCCTCTCCTTGGGGTCGAGGTGCCCTGAATTCACCTTCTCAGCAGTGGCGTCGCTGCCCAAGGATGGAGGCGATGCTTTCACCTTGTGGCTGGGCTCTGCGGCGAGCGCCACTGGGCTGGTTTTGCTGGTTTTCAGGATGATATTTGGTGGCAGTTTTCGTGGTTTGGGGGCTGTGGGAGGCCCGCGCTTGGTATCGGGGTCCTGAGGGGCCTCTTCCAATGTGGATTTCTCGGGCTGGCCCCAGGACATCCAAGTCTTGGTCTCCTTGGCTGTTTCCCTCTTGTCATCTGAGCGATTGCTGCGTGACCACTCATGGCTCACCAGCTCATCCTGGAAGGGATCTGGAGGTTGGATAAGCAAAGATTCCAGGGATTTCATCTGGCTCCTTCTGCTGGGTTGGTCAAGCCTGTCCTTGGCCATCTCCTGCGAGGATTTCTCTCCTGGCACTGGGTCCTCCACTCTGTGGACAGTCACTTTGCTGTCAGAGGCTCCGTTTGCTACAGTGGTGATCCTTGGAAGACTGGAATAGCCTGAGCTTGGAACCACTGCTGGAGCTGACCTTGGGAAGGCAGAGGGGTTTTTACCATTCTTCTGTTCAGCTGCATGCTGCAGGGGGGGAGCCCCGTTTTCCAGATCTAGGCAAAGAGAGAGATGAAGTCATGCACCCCATGGACACCTCATTTGCAAAACACACTCCTTCCTGCCTCCTAAGCCAGAGCAGCCATGGCAGGCACTTGGCTTTGCAAACCAGGGCTGGACCATGGGTTTCCAGCTTACCCCGGGTGATGGAGTTTCTCTTAGGCCGGGTCCCGGGCAGCTTGGAGGGCTCCGTGTAGTCAGTCTCGTTGGTAGAGACCCCGCTGTCTGCTTCTGCATCCAGGGAGCCAATAGTTTCTTCTAAGAACATCAGACATTCTTTCTCTTCTACAGATAAGTAGTCATAACTGTTATCGCTCTGAAAAAGAGGGAAAAAAGGCAGCAGAGGGAGGAGAAAGAAGTTAGGAGATGTGTGACAGCTCTCGGCCAGTGGCTATTCAGAAATTGGTATTTACAGCTACACAAAACTAGACAAATGGCTCTAAAAAAAGCCTAAGGTATATACTTAAGGCCATTTTTATATTGAAATGAGCATCAGGAGATGGGTTATTCTTAACTTGGAAACTTGGTCTTTACCTTTTAGTCCTTTACCTTGGAATGTAAGCAGATGGGTACCATGGGTGGTCTGTTGGTGTGGGTACTGATGAGCAGTGATTTATCTCAGAAGCTTGCCTAAACATCATAAATACCAAAGACTTATCTGTGCGTGGTGGTCCCTCTCCTTGTTCTCCCAGCAAGATCTTTACTTTTTGTTGTATTTCAAGTACCAGGAGATGTGATTGCTGTGGAAGCACCAAGTTACAAGGTGCTAGAAGCAATATACCATTAAAAAAGAGGGGCAGGAAAGGATGGGGTGTGCATCAAATCAACAAGCAGGGAGGAGAAATTGTCCGAGGTGGAGTTGTTTTGCAGAGACAGACACTTATCCAAGTCTTTGACCAGGCAATATTGCAACCAGTTTTTCCATCCCTAATACATCCCAGAGGGTTTGGTTCTGGTTTGCAATCTATCAAATAGAAAACCTGTTTAGGACTGAGCATTGCACTTCCACGTATCAATTATGCTCCAAGTCAGACAGGATGTAATTAGTCCATCAATCTTGGATTCGGTGTTGGGAGACAAACAAGCTTTAATGGACAGATAGTGAAAAATGACACATCTACACCCATGGCCCGAACTCATCTCTGCCTTAACTAAGGAATTAATCTCATGTTGGCCAGGAGGACTGCTCACTGTCTTGTCCAGGTGAAGTCACCCTTGTTGGAGCCAGTCTGACCCACTTACCCAACTGGTCTAATCTCTCCCTGGGGAGCTCACCCAGTGCCGGCACTATCTGCATCGGCATCTTCAGGCAGCAAGGGAGCATCGGGGCTCTGGGTATCATTCCCCAGAGGAGGCCTTGCAGCAGTGAAGGCTCCTGATTGCTGCCATAGATGGGGCAGGGCTGGAAATCTGGGAGCGCTTTGGAGCAGGAATTCACTTGGTCTTTGTGCTGCCCTCAGCATGGTACCCGAGTGCTTCCAGGGCACCCGAGCATGCCTCAGGGTACCCGAGTGCTTCCAGAGCACTCATGGGGAGCAGTTCTGAGCAGAGAACAGGAACAGGGTGCCCAGAGAAGCTGTGGCTGCCCCATCCCTGGCAGTGCTCAAGGCCAGGTTGGACACAGGGGCTTGGAGCAAGCTGCTCCAGTGGAAGGGGTCCCTGCCTGTGGCAGGGGTTGAAGCCATGCCCAGGCTGGGCACAACAGGGGTACTTACATGCTGTGAGTGGTTGGAGGCCGTGCTGACCATGCTGTCGCAGCTGCCAGAGTTGCAGCCAGCCATTCCCAGCTCCTTCCTAGGCATATCCCAGGCTGCCCGGGGGGCAACGTCCTGGCTGAAGCAGAAGAGAGGCATTAACCTGCAAGGTCCCGTACCCCAAGACGATGCAAGCAGGCAGGCTGTGGAACTAATGAAGCTGTAAGCTCTGGACTGTTTATCCACAGCCATCCCATGCTGGTGGTTATCTTGGAGATGTGGATAAGGTAGTTCCTGAGTGAAGGAAAAAGCTGTAAGCTCAGCTCAGCCTCGGTGATGGGATCAGTGATCCCATCCCAATGCAAGCCCCAGCCCAGCTCCAACTCATAGGATCTCTTCCCCCCAAACCTCTGACCACGCTGACCCGAAACGCTGCTGTTCAGCTGCAGCCTTGTTCTGCTGGGAGCTTCCTCCTGCCACCCTTCCTCTGGGGCTGCAGGGGTGTGGTGGCCATGGGGAGCTGCCCCCATTCCTTTGGGGCACGCCTGGGTGTGTTTGGGCACGTGCCTGGCATAGCTTGCGGGGAGCAGGGCAGCACCGGGTCTCCAGCATCCCCCTTTGCTCATGGCAATGCACCGCTGCCACTCTTCTGGATTCAGCCTGCACCCCCAAACTAGTGGGACCCAAATGGGGTAGTAATTGCCTGACAAACAACCTGCCACTGGGATTGCTAGCAGTGAGATCTGCCTGGGGCATGGTCCTGGAGGCAGAGGGGACAGTTATATGCTTGCAGGGTGCATGGCCTGCGGGGAGATGCTGAGTGCCCCACAAAAGGCATCATTACCTATGGGTGTAAAGCAGGGAGCTTCCGAAATGGACCAACACCACCTATTAGGTGTTTGGAGAGGCTTGGGCTGAGAACAGCAAAACAACCCCCCCCCAAGAGCACACAGGGACCCATGCGAGAGGATTTGCTTGTTGAGAGACAGAGGAGCTCTTTGTGCCGTGACCTGGCCATGGCACAGGAACATACTGCTGCTTTTTGTCTTGGAGCAGGGAATTAGATGGAGTGATAAGTGAGCCGAAGTGGCTGCTTGTTCAGAGGGTTAGAGCCTGAAAGAATTCCTTTGTAATTGGGATATGCCGCAAAAAATCAGATTTCAACAGGCACCCCCTGACAGATCTAATCCTTCCCCTATTTCAGTCTCAGTTTAGGCATTATTTACTGCTTAAATGACACCGCAGTAAGTGGTGCCTTTCAAACAGCAATACCCTGGATTCCATTGAATTCAGATAACTTTATAGCCAGAGCTTTTAGCTGTCAGGAAGCAGGGACACAAGGTGAGCTTGAGGGGTTTTTAGGCTTCCGCAAGCCATGTGGATTTACCGTGACCCAGAACATTTCCAGTCTGAAATGTGAATCTGCTTCTAAGCAGCAAGAGGCTCCTGCTGCCTCATTGCAATGCTCCTCATTGCCCCCTACTTCCCTGCTGCACCCATTCGAGAGCACAGAAAAAGCCTGGCCCTGCTCTGCTCAGGGGTCCCTCCAGGTCCTGGCCCCCCAAGGATGCCCATCACCGTGTGGCCATTGGCAGAAGTAATTTGCTCCTGTTCAAACAGCGTTTGCAGAAACCTAAAGCAGCTGCCAAGGTTTTGGGACCCTCCCCTCCATGGGGAGGCAAAGTTCAGGCTCATTGCATGTTGGGGAGGATCTATGCAGAAAGCAGCTCATTTTCCTGCCCACCAGTTCTCTGATGCGATTATGGCTCTAACGCGTTCACCCAGCTCGGGAACAGTGCTGTAATATCCCAGGGTTTATGAACCAGAAGGATTTTACAGTTCCTTTTGCTGAGTAACAGCAAAGAAACCCATGAGCATTTACATTAGAATACACGGCACTTGAGAAGCTGTTTTCCTATCATGTCTATACCTCCTGCCACTAAAAATCCTGTTAGGAGAAGCTAACAGGGAGAGCTGCCGTAACTGTCCTTTACAAAGCTCTCTGAGCCCTCAGACATCAGAGGTGCTGGGTAGCAATTAATGCTAATTGCTTTATACGAAGAGGCTACTTTCTTTTACACCCAGTGCTACTAGGAGCCCTCTACCCCAGCTCTCCAGCCCTGTTAAAGAAGCGGGGTGGTTTTGCTGTCTAAAGCAAACCCTAACCCCTACAGCAAAGGGCTTTGTCCTGCGCAGGACCATCCTGGCTGCTCCTGCTTGGCAGCAGGATGGATCCCACCTCAGGGAGGAAGGAGGTGATGGCAGATCTGTTCAAACAAGTAAATCAAGTGCAGGTAGCAGTTGCCTGAGCTCTTTGCTGTCCTGAGCACGCACTTTCTCAGCCTCTCCGCTGGCAGCGCTGGGTCTCCCCCAGCTTTCCCCCTGCCACCACCTTCAGAGCACCTCGTCCATCTTCACTGGGGACAGCCCCACCACGCTTTCACCTTCCCGAAGCACAGCACGTACATAACCCCACCAGCACCCACAGACAGCCCTGCGCGCCCTGGGGCAGAGGCTCTCTCCCGCAGCCCATCAGCAGGAAAAGGACAGAAAGTGAAGGGCAAGAAAGAACAGACCATTAACGTTGCTCCTGTTTTACCAGCACGTCCGTCGCTCCGCGCTGCCCGAATCCTTGTCCTGACCGTGCCTATCCCAGCACTTCTTTGCTTTCCTGGGTTAACCAAACAGAGCCGGGTTACACATTAACCCTCCTGCGGGGAGATAAGGCTGTGCCGGTGCTCTGCAGGTACGTGCTCACGGGTGAGAGCCCCCAGCCCTTCACTCGCAGCCTGCTGCACTGGGGCAAGAGAAGTCCATCTTGCACCCATGCAGAGCACCTCTTCCTATTGCTCCAGGCAGCTGAGCCCCTAAAACCCCTTCATGTCCTGCCCCAAGCAGCCCGGTCGCTGCGTGCCGTGCTCTGAGGCAGCACCCGGGAGGCTGTGGGCAGCTCAGCTCGGTACCACCCCGCTCTCACTCACTTCCCAGCTCCGGCTGCTGCCCTCTGATGTCCTCAGCACGGGTTTCGCTGGAGTCTCCTTAATCCGACATCCTGTTCTGCAGCATAGCTGCTCGCTGACACCCGGAGCAGCCCAAAGCAGCCCCGACCCAAGCACTTTTGTACGCAGTAATTAAACCCTGTGCTGGGCGTTTGCTCTGTGCGCTGCTCACCGCGTTACCCCACAACTGGTTTGTTCTCTGGGGTGGTTTTGTGCAGGAGATCCCTCAGCTCAGGGTAGGACCCGGCTCCTTCTCGGCTCTAAAGCCACAGCCTCTTGCTAGAACAGGTATGTACTCGTCTATCACCAAAGCTTTCCCAGGGACCAAAAGTTCACCGCCTGCTGCTGGATGCTGTGAGGAGGTTCTGAAGGCAGAAAGCTTCACCTCCAAGCTTCATCTGCGTGCTAGAGGAGGAGGTGCCCAGGTCCTCGCAGTTCTGAGGCTTATTCTTCAGGTACTGAGCTTGCAGCTCCCTTTTGCCCCTCCTGGTACCCTTCCCTGCAGGCACTGAGCCCCCTCTGTGTGTTCATTCCCACCTCCTCTGCCTCTCTCCAGAGGAATCCTGGAATACCAGGCTGGAAGGGACCTTGAGGATCATCTGCTCCATCCTCTCTAGGCAAAGCGTGACCTAGACTAGATGTCCCAGCGCCCTCTCCAGCCGAATCCTAACAGAGAGTGTCCAGTGTTTTGGAACCCACCACTTGCCTGGGGAGATTACTCCAGTGATTGATTGTTCTCACTGGGGAAAATGTTCCTCTTGTGCCCAGTTATTCCACCTGCAGCACCCAGTGCCACGCTGGGTGATGCTGACCCCCAGGCCCCAGGTGGTGCTGCAGAAGCACCTGAAGAACTGCAGGGGCTTGTTATTACCGTGATTTTGGGCTCTTCTATTGAAATCACAGCTTTTCTCTCTGACAAACAGTGCTTAGGCCATTGCCCCCACAAACACGCACAGCATAGACTTGTATGTGCTTTGCAACGTGAGTAACTCTGAATATCCAAACAGTGACAGCCACTGAATTCATTGCAGTTTTCATGCCTCAATAATTTGGTTTTAACTTTTATATTGGCGTTTTGGCGGTTTTATTCTTAGAAAAAGGCTGTGTTGCAATGTGTTCCCTGCTGCACAGAACAGGGAAGTGGAAACAGAGCTAATTAAAGCCATGGTAGAAAGCAGAAGAGCCAGGAAGCACAGAGGTTCCACCGGCACTGCTGAGCCCCAGCTGTGTGCTGTTACGAAAGGGAACGTGTGCTGAGAAGCAAACCAAGGAGCCAGCGGGCTCGGGAGCTCCCGCCAGCCCTGATTCCCATGCCAGCCTGCAGCAGAGGGCGGGAATGGTGTGAATGTGATGGATTTGGAGCAGCAGTAGCAGCCCCAGCACTGCCTGAGCATTGTGACAGACAGTGATTGCAGCGTCGAGCTAGGTTTAGTGCAAGAGCTTCTGGAAGTGTTGCCTGGCGTGGTGCTGGGTGGTGAAGCAGGTTAAACAGAGGTGGATTCACACTGGTTTTGTTAAGTTCTGCTTAGTTCTGAGCTTTAAGGGAGGGAGTAAATCAGACCCCAAGGTGTTTTCTTACTGTGCATGCAAACAGTGTGAATGAGCAAAGGCAAGTGTGTCCCGAGAGCACTGTGCTGATAGCACAAGGCCTTAAATCTGTGCAGTAAACCAGGCAGAGCTTTCTTCCTGCAGGGCTTTGTGTAGGTCAGGAAGGTGTCATGATCCATTAAAGGAAGTCTTGAGCTTCTCTGAATCAGCTGCCCAGAAAGAACCTGTTCTTTTTCCACATTCCTCTTCCTCCAATGAATATAAATAGCTACAACCCCAAATAAAGTGTGATTTCAGATACACGGCATGAAGTCTATGTGAGTAGTCAAACAATGCAGAGAAAACTTCGCAGTACAGTGAAGGGACTTTGGCATGTCAACAGACCCGTTGTGCCTCACCCTGTTCATAAACACGAGAGCACAAGTGGTTCAGTCCTGCCCCTGGTGGAAACTCATCACTGGTAACATACCTGTTAACATAAAGAGGTTCATCTGACTCTGTAGGACTGTTGGACACTTTCCTTGTACCAAATTGTATGGACAGGATGGATGCTAACAATCAGTTACGGAAAAGACTAGGTAGTTAATACCTGGTTTCACAGAGCAGCTTAAAGAAATAATTAAGTCTTAATATAGCTGTGAAGTGAGCAAGGAACCCTATTTATTATCCCTATTTTACAGAAAAGAGGTAGAGAACTGAGGTGATCTGTTTCCATAGCTGGGTTAACATTCACTTAGCAGCAGAAATGAGGAGTCAGCTCTCAAGGTATAATAAAGCTCCCTAAAATTTCCCCAAAGGCTTTAATTAAAAGGAGACAGACACTGCACTCTTGGCCATCCTGATTTTGTCCACTTCCCCATTGCATTCTTGTGTTCCAGAAAGCATTTTGGTGCTCAGAATGCTTGAGGTGAGACAACTTGCAGCCATTTTATTCTTCCTGGTCCAGAGCAGAGCAAAACCTGTGGCAGTTTTACAGCTGGATGCTTTGGATGATTTAAGATACAGGCAGACGTGTAATTTGTAGGATGAAGAGTTGTCATTTGGAAACCAGCAAGCTGCAAACGTTTTGTTCCTCTTATTAAAGAGGTTCCCTGCCAGGGCTCTCCCATGGCAGAGTTTGTGTGGGGCTGGAGCCAGAGCTGCCCTCCAGGGCTGCGAGCAGTGAGATCTGCCAGAGGTGGCTGTGTCTTGGTCTGGTTTCTCTAACATACGGGTTTTGATGGTAAAGGCAGTCAGCTTCATTCTCCTGCTTCAAGAAGAGCAAATAGATAAGGCTGCTTTAGTGAAATATATATAAATGAATATATATATTTATATAGATAAATGAACCTGTGTTCTGCATTGATGGTGTGGTTTCACGGTGGCTTTGTGGCCCCCGGGTGGATTAGGGTTGTAGCGCTATTATACTCCTGAACATGTCTCTAGAAAAGGGATGAGTACAGCAGATACTGTTCCCAAACTGGCCCAGTGGCCTCTGCTATGACTGTGCCCATGAAAAGCTGCAGGTTTAAGATATTCTGCTCTGTGTAAGATGTTCCTTTTCTCAGCCCTTTCCTTGGCAATTGCTCTTTTTTACATGAATTTACCCAGAACTGAGGAATTCAGTTTGTCCTTCAGAAAACTGCTGATTTACTCCCTAGGAAATTGCATCCATGAAGTGGGTAAGCATGCTACTGAACCCAAATGTTCCTGAAGTCTGGCTACTAAATGATTCAGCTTTATACTGACAGAGGGGAGATTGAGATTGGACATTAGGAAGATGTGAGGGTGCTGAGGCGCTGGCACAGGGTGCCCAGAGAAGCTGTGGCTGCCCCATCCCTGGCAGTGCTCAAGGCCAGGTTGGACACAGGGGCTTGGAGCAAGCTGCTCTGTGGAAGGTGTTGCTGCTCTGTGGCAGGGGTTGGAGCTGGAGGAGCTTTAAGGTCCCTTCCAACCCAACCCAGGCTGCACTGCAAAGGGGTGAAGACCTCAAAACCACCCTGGTGAACTGAGCCCGAACCTGAAATTCCAGAAGTGAGGCGCAGACTGCACTGAGGATGTACACATGCATCAGTCACGTTTATTGGTGCAACACAACTTTTGCAATCCAGAGCATGTGTTTAAGGCAAGCTGTTACACCAACTGGTTGCACGGATGATACAGGTACCGGAACGCTGCACCACAGGGTTACAATGGGAATGAAAGCTGTTAGAAGCCTTTGCTACCACTTGCTTTACTGCAGTGGGAACATGCTGCCTCCACCAGTGAAAGCCCTTGCTCAGCATCTGCTCAGCACGTAAACTCAGACAAGCTTTTCAAGTGTTGTTACAACCATGAGTTGATGCGTATCTCTTGGTACAATACATGTTTGTGGAAGGCCACATGATTAGTGTGTGGAGCTCTCCTTTAATTAAAGAAGGAATTTAGTGCTGGTAAAACAGCCAGACTGGCACCAGGAAACGAGGACTCTTTATCTGAGGGATGTTCTAGAACTTGGTAAAACAATACCAATAATAATCCACCTTTTAGTAAGCACACCCCCAAAACAAACCTTCCCGTTTCCAGGGCTCATTTAGTTACTGAACCCTGTGTTGAAGTATTCAGCAAGGAATTTAATGCTCATTTTAAACTTGTATGGGATTGGGAATGACGGTAAGGACATAAGCCCACGTTTTGCAGGCCTTGGGTATGGGTGATGCTATTCCCTGCCAGGACCCAAGCCCACGTCCCACCTCTAGGGTAAAATAGGTGTAACTAACATTCTGCTGTACAATTAGTAACAGATCAGTGTAAATGTGTCATGGTGTGCTGAAGTTCATCCTACCAGCGGGCCGCTTTTGTGATGCTTCTGTAACTGTATTGTTAAGGGCAGGCAAAAATGCTGGTAAAAATGATACCAAAACCACCCCAAAGCTAACATTCCCAGCAGTTGAAACAGAGGGGGCTGTACTTCAAATGTACCTGTATCTTAGATAATGCAGACGCTTTGGGAGAGTTTGAGAATCACATGAAGTTTTCTGACTTGCAGGCAGCACCACGGATCCCTGTTGTTTGAAATCCATCTGTCAGTGTCTAACAGCATCAGCTCTTACAAAGATGAACTCCAGCAGTGTCAGTGGACATTTTTTAAACCAAAGAGATTTTATTTTCTAGGCAACAAAAGAAAACATCCAAGCAGTGATACTGACACATCTCCCTCGAGTGGAACTGAGTCTCTGGGAGCCGATTTCCAATGCAAACATGACATAGCAAAGCTCAGCGCTCCGGATTAAATAACCCTCATCTTCAAAATACTGCAACTGAGAAAGACCCCAAAGAAAAATCCTTTTCCATGCTTGCAGAAATCCATCCAGGACACAAAGCTCCCCAAAGCCAATATGCATTTGCAAACATGGCAGGCAATAAATATGTATCTTCCACTTCTGGTTCAAAGCCACCCCAGCCAGTCACCGGGAACACCTCTCTGAGGTAGGTTTTATGTCCATTTTACAGATGGCAATGGTGAGGCTCAGCTCCTTGTCCAAGGCGTCTCTCTGCTTCCACGGGAAAGCTGAGAATACAACTGAGGACTGACAGTCTCTTGGTCTCATTCCTAGACAGTATTTCATCTCAAGTAGTTATAACACAGTGTAATCTTCAAGTTCCTTTGAACTGTCAGGTATTTCCTTAGGTTTGTAAGCATCAGCTTCTAGAGAACTGGTTTTAATGTTGGGGGGTTGGTTTGGTTTGTTTTTTTCCTATGACAGACTAAAAGCCAAGTGAAGTTTAACACTGGAAACTAAGTCGCTTTCTATAGGAAACTCCCAACAGTGCTAACATGTATTTTAATACTGAATTAAAAAGACACCTGGTCCATAGTGATTCTGTCCTTTATACTTAATTATTCACGCCTCAATTCAGCAAAGCACTTCTGTAATTACGTTCCTTCCTTGATAAGACCCTCCTGTATTTCAAGGTCCAACTGGGAGCCTCTGCTGAGAACTTCAGTGAAACGTGCCTTCTATAAACACGGTTTTGCTGCACCAGCTTAGGTAACACTAGATCTTAAGTTCCACTTTGGTAAGTGGATTTATTTCTGCCTCAGTCTGAAGATGCAGGTTCTTGCTCCCCATTTGTAAAAGTGCAAGGAAGGTAACTCAAAACAGCAACAGAAAAAGAGCAGGTTAAGGATATTTTAAAAGTCATTAAAACAAGCATGTGTTGTAGGCATTTCAAGGAAAAACCAAAATCCCCTTCAGTAATATGCACCTTTACAGCACCTTTTAAAAGACCTCAACAGCACTTCCAGCTGCTGTGAGGCAAGATAGATTCAACCAATTTCAACTTCCCTGATTGTGAGCAGTCCGAGAAGTAGGGCAGTTTTCATAGCTTATTTTGTTCTGGAAGTTAAACTGCACCCTTCATTATCAGGATTAAAGTCTTGCCACTGAACAGTCATCGGTGACAAATCAAACACGTTAAGGCAGAATGCAGATGAAGAAAATTCAAGCCTCCCTTCTGGGTTCTCTGTCCTTCTAAAAAAAGGCAAAACTTTTTAGCAGGAAGGAGTGAGAACTATACCTTAAAGTGCTCATTTACAGTGTTTGGAATCTGGTACAGCTTAGTAACACTGTGGCCATGAGCTATACCCAAGTCTGCTTCAATGGATGTAACAAACTGAGTCACTTCCCTAACTACTCTATTTCCCTCTTGCCAGGATTTCAGATACTATTGTGAATAAGAGTCCAAACTATTTCAAGAAACATGCCTATGTTCTGATGCAGTGTAAACACCAGGGGGTTGATAGTTATTTTTCAAGCAACTAAAAACTACCTACAGAGGATTAGTAAGTTTATTCAACACTTAACCATCTACTTATTAATTTAAAGAAGGCTACCTTAAAGCTTAGAGGCCATTTCTTTCTCTAAAGCCATGACTTCACACACACAATACAGTCTACTTCTGATGGTAACATAGTATAGGGCAGCTTTGGAGATACTCTTTCCATCCCTAAGTGTGCACCAAATGAGCAGTTTCCCCTGCAAGAACTGCTTGTATGTGCAGAGTCTAATCCTTAGCATAAATAATGCTGATCTGAGTGTTTCCCAAACCCTTAATTTAATTACCCTGAAAACATGATACAGAGAGATTAAGTCAGCAATTTAAAGGCTAGATTTTATGCTAGTGTTGAATGAGCCTGATTTAATATGTCTGCTCAGTTCACACACACAAAGACTATTTCAGGAATCAAGTTCTAGCTGCCAGTGTATACCACCTGCCAAAGTACTATAAATTAGCATGCGAGAAGATACCTACTTCAAATCCCTTGGGATAAATCCCTAGCCATAACAAACCTGTGCATCCTGGCCATCATTAAGTTAATTTGCTTTTCAAGCTCTGTGAACGGAATTGTAGGATTACATACAGCTTATCTGGGAATCCAGAATTTTATTCTGGACCGATGAGGTAGTCGATGTAACCATCCTCATGCAGATGTCACACTTCCCCAAAGTTGGTGTGTCCGGTCTCCTTGGCGTGTTCTCTGGCTTCCACTTGTCCCGTGAGTCCCTTCTGGCACACCATGCACCGCAGCGTGAAGTGATTCACATCCGTGAACTGCCTCTTCCGCCTGGCTTCATCTGCCAACTCCAAAGCTTGTGCAAGGACAATATCATCACTTGTGGAGAAAATGGTCTGGGGAGGAACGTCCGAGTCTGGGATTTTACGCTCAAGTGGATCATAATGAATCCCATCATATATTAAAAGGACCCGCTTAGTGTAACCAGCATCTTCCCCAAAGCGGTCGATCCTGACTGTCTGTGTGTCCACCACACAGATTTCACACTGGTAAAACTTGGACAGAATGGACACTTCGATGGCTCCTCCCCACGTCTCTTCCCTCCGGATCCAGTCACAATACTCCCTGTTGGTTTTCCCTAGAACTGCCTCACAGTACGATTCCGGATCGCTTGCTACTATCTGGGCTATGAGGCTGCGCATCTCTGGAGCGCAGCCTGGGTCGTAGACGCCTCCTTCTACCACATAGTACACACTGGTGAAGAGACAGGAGTTATCTGCTGGCACAACCCTCCTGGCGAGCAGAGGCACAGCTTCCCTGACCGAGTTAGACATCGTTCTTTTTGCAACCACGGCTGAGTCAGTCTTGGCTTTGGACGCGTCCTCTTCAACGATCAGGGTATCACCTGTCAAACACAGGAGGAGGAGGAGGAATTGAGGGAAATCACAGCACCACAGAACAGTCTGGGTTAGAAGGGAACTTAAAGCTCCTCCAGCTCCAACCCCTGCCACGGGCAGGGACACCTTTCACTAGAGCAGCTTGCTCCAAGCCCCTGTGCCCAGCCAGGCCTTGAACACTTCTACTTGCAGACCGCATTTAAAGGCGCTGCTGGTCCTAAACCAAAGCAACGCGGCTGCATTGTTATAACTGCGGCTTGTGCTCATTTCCCCCCTCAGCACCATATCCTGATGGGAAACCGCCTCTGCCAGACCAGCCGGTAACACCACAGCCCACGGACCACGCACGCAGAGGAGGCTCCGCAGTACTCACCCACCGGGCCCCAGCCCTGCGGACCCTCGGCACGCGGGTGAAGCCACGACGGGCGCTGCCGGCGAGCAGGAAGCACCGCGAGCCGGGTGTTGACAGCTCCCGCCGGGGGAGGAACCGGCCCGACAGCGGGGCCGATGAGGGGCGTGCTGGGCCGCAGCCTCTTTTCATTACGCTAATTACACCCCATGGAGCGCCGGTGTCCGCCCCCCCCGCACCGCGCAGGCCCGGCCCTCACCCGAGTGGATGCCGAGCTCGCCGAGCCGCCGCTCGCCGTCACTGAGGTCCAGGCTCCGCGGCGGGAAGCCGAGCAGCAGCCGCTGCGCCGGGACGGGCACGCCGGTGAGGGCGGCCAGCGCGGCCTGCATGTCGCGGAGCCGGGAGTGCGCCGTGAGCCCGGGCAGCGGGTGGGAGCCGCTCCGGGCCTTGCACCGCAGCCGGAGCATCCTCGGCGGGGCCGCCCCGCGCCTCCTCCTCCTCACGAGCCGGCTTCCGTCCTGCGCGCTCTCGCGAGACCTCCGTTCCGCGCGCCGTCATTGGCTGGGCCGCATCCAACCGGAGCGCTGGTGGCGGGGTCGGGGGCCGCGGGGCGCGCTCGCGCTTGTCATGTAGGGATTTGCATATAATTTGCGTGTGATTTGCATTTGTGGCGCGCCGCCGCGGGGCCATGGCGGCGGCGCGGCACGGCGGCGGCCCGAGGGGCAGGCCCGGGGGTCTGCGCGGCGGAGAGAAGCAGTGCTGTGAGTAAGCTCGGTCTGGAGTGGCGTCTGCGCGCTGCCGCTCTTTAGGGGTTAAAACCATATATATCTCTCTCTATATATATATTTATATCTAATTTAAGGATCGCGCTTAAAACCGCGCGCGTTTTCCTCAACCCGCGTTCCCCCCCCCCCGTCCGCGGGCGCGCAGCCGGTGCCCGGTGTCCTACCCCTGCGCTCCCGAGGGTGCTCGGAGCTCTCATCCCCGTCCTTCTTTCCCTGCCTCCCGGTGCTGCTCCGCTCCCAGCTCCTGGCCTCGGGCTGTTTTCTGCTAGAACGTGAGTGTTTTACTTGAAGCACGTTCGCCCTTGGCGGCTCCTGCCCCGTCGGTAAATAGCAAATAGCTTTAAGGCTAAAGGTTGGTATTAGTCCCATTAGCGCAGCGGGCGCGTCGAGGCTAATGCGGCTCATTAGCTGACACCCGGGAGACCGCAGAGTGGTTAATGAGCGGTGAGGACACCAGGGAGCCCGTTGGGAGATGCACGGCGGGGGTCTGACCATCCGGGAGACCGGAGAATTTAGAATCGCGGGGTGGGAAGGGCGTTCTGAGCATCTGGTCCAGTCTTCCCTGGCAAAGCATGACCTAGGCTGAATGTCCCAACACCCTGTCCAGCCAGATCGTAACGGTGGGCAGCAGCGGGGGAGTCCTCCCCTTCCCTGGGGAGATTATATTGTTCTCATTGGGCAAAGTTTGCCTCTTGCCCCATGGGTAACTTGTAGCCAATGCCCCTTGTTTTTCCTACGTGATTCTTTGCAAAAGGGAGTCTCCATCTTTCTGGAATCATGGAATGGTTTGTGTTGGAAGGGAAGGGAGCTTAAAGTTCATTCAGTTCCAACCCCTACCACAGGCAGGGACCCCTTCCACTGGAGCAGGTTGCTCCAAGCCCCTGTGTCCAACCTGGCCTTGAGCACTGCCAGGGATGGGGCAGCCACAGCTTCTCTGGGCACCCTGTGCCAGCACCTCAGCACCCTCACAGGGAAGAGCTTCTGCCTGAGAGCTCATCTCAGCCTCCTCTCTGGCAGGTTAAAGCCTGACAACAGCTCCGTGTCCTTCTTATGCTGGGGACCCTTGTGGTCTTTGTAGCCTCCCTTTAAATACTGGCACAAGATGGGCAGCTCTGCATGGCTTTGGGCTGGGGCTTGGCTCTTGTTCTCAGATACTCTGCGATGCTGCTGATGCTCCTGGCTTGGTTTTGGGTTTGCAGCATGGGCTTCCTACATGACCAACTCCCCAACGCTGATCGTCATGATCGGCCTGCCTGCACGCGGCAAGACCTACGTGTCCAAGAAGCTCACCCGCTACCTCAACTGGATCGGGGTGCCCACCAAAGGTGTGTGCTGGGACTGCCCTTGTGCAGAAAGCAGTGTGAGATCTGCCTGTGCAGTGCTGTCAGTCTCACGTGCTTGTCTTTTTGTGTGTGAAGTGTTTAACTTAGGAGTGTATCGCCGGGAAGCGGTGAAGTCTTACAAGTCCTATGACTTCTTCAGGCATGATAACAAAGAAGCCATGGAAATCCGCAAGTAAGTTGGCATCAAGGGGCAGAACTGTTCTGTGGTGGTCTGGTTAGTCTCAGGTCTTGGCAGGCCCTGTATTTCAGGGGCACAAATTAACAGTGATTGAAACCAGGGGATGAGGCAGCCCAGCGCATGCAGGGATCCTGCCACAAGCAGGTTTTAGGCAGAGGTGCCTTATGATCCCTGGGGTTCTTAGGGATGCAGGGATGGGTCCTCCATGGGCAGAGGGAGAAGGTATTCAAACCTCTCCCAGTGGTTCAGAAGCTTTGGTGTTTGAATGCTTTCCATCAGCTCTAAGAGTACTTGTTTCTCTCCTGCAGGCGATGTGCCCTGGTGGCCCTACAAGATGTGAAGGCATATCTCTTGGAGGAGTGTGGGCAAATAGCTGTAAGACTTTGCTGCACTGAATATGGGTTATGTTTGGGTAGTTTAAAGCTGCCCACGTTATCTGGGGACTCAATTGTTACCCCCAGTGTTTTGGGGCTGGTTTAAAAGCCTTAGATGAAGTTGCTAATTGCTGCTTCCTCATTTTCTGGTAGGTGTTTGATGCGACCAACACCACTCGAGAAAGACGGGACCTGATACTAAGTTTTGCTAAAGAAAATGCTTTCAAGGTAGTGGTGCTGCTGTGTTTAATTTGTAGTTGCTGCACCGAGGGGCATTACTGCTCCCTGGGGCAGGAGCGCTTGAGTTTTGATGCGGGGTAGAGTTCTTGACTCTCTGAAATACGCTTCTTTGCCTTCTTTGTAGGTGTTTTTTGTGGAGTCCGTCTGTGACGATCCAGAAGTCATTGCTGCCAATATCCTGGTGCGTGCTGCATTTACCAGGCTTGGCTGCCTGTGCCTTCTGAGGGTGCTCAGTACAAGGTCACCAGCCACAATAGCTTACAGCAGTGTCTGCAAACGTTCTTGCTCTTATGTTTCACCTAAATAAGCAGCTGTAAGGTTTGCAGCTTTAGAAAAGCTAAAGATGCAGTTAGGCTATGTGAGAAGGTGGAAATCAAATGAAGCTGAGAAATGTTTGACCTTGAAGTGTGCTTTCTTGTTAGGGGGAGGCGAGCAGCAAGGCAGCTGTGTCTGTCAGAGGGCCAAGCACCACAGTGCCTTCAGAGTTGCCCTTTGTTTCCTCTCCAGGAGCAGGGTTTTTTCCACAGGGCAGGGTTAAACAATGCCTGTTTGTTTCCAAGGGGAAGAATAATGTTATTCAGCCTTGCCTTTGTTCCCCTGGTGAGTTTACTTAACTCTCACAAAGTGGTGCTGTCTCTTATCAGGAGGTGAAGGTTTCCAGCCCCGACTACCCAGAGAGAAACAGGGAGAACGTGATGGATGATTTCCTGAAGAGGATAGAGTGCTACAAGGTCACTTACCAGCCTCTGGATCCTGATGCCTATGACAAGTAAGCAAAGCCCTGGGGTGCATTTTATCCTTGCACACGTGAGCTGCTTTGCTTTGTCGCTGCTGTTCTCTGGCTCCGGATGCTATAATGTGTCTGCTGGAGCCTCTGCTCTCCCAAAGTTGCCTGTGTGAAGGTGGTTCCCAAGTGATTTGAAAGGGTTTTTCTCTAGTGTACTGCAGTGTAATGCAGCTCCTTGTGTAAGCAGTTCAGTGTCTCTTCTATCTGCTGGAGTGACCCAGTGGTAGTGCTGATGCCTTTACTAGAGGATTAATAGCTAGATTACACCCGCAGATGCACGTGCTTCATATTTAAAACCAGTCGTGTGGGTGTTCTTATCTTATGTTGACTCCAGAGATCTTTCCTTCATTAAAGTGATCAATGTGGGACAGCGGTTCCTAGTAAACAGAGTCCAGGATTACATCCAGAGTAAAATCGTCTATTACCTAATGAACATTCATGTCCAGCCGCGTACCATCTACCTTTGCCGACATGGTGAGAGTGAATATAATCTTGTTGGCAAGATTGGTGGGGATTCTGGTCTGTCACCACGTGGGAAGCAGGTAAGTGTTTGGCAGCACCCGGGTTGCTGTATGTGTTGTGTGACCAGAGCCGGGCTCTGCATCCGACTCCTGCGAGGGGCAGCCCCGCAGATGGATCTTGCTGCAACAGCCACGGCCCTTGAAATGATGCTCTGAAGAGTGGCAGCAGCTCCTGCTCCCTCCTAACCTCCCCTGGCGTTTTCTCCAGTTTGCTCAGGCGCTGAAGAAGTTCCTTGAGGAGCAGGAAATCGTTGACCTGAAGGTGTGGACGAGCCAGCTGAAAAGGACGATCCAGACGGCCGAGTCCCTGGGGGTCATGTACGAGCAGTGGAAGATTCTCAATGAGATTGACGCTGTGAGTGAAATGCTGATTGAAGCCTTTAGCTTTCCTAGGCAGAAAATAATGCTTAAAACCAAATTTACTACGATAAAATGACCATTTCTTATTCATCTCTAACCATGTCCATGTATAATGTGCTCCAGCCTGTAGAAGCACAGAGTAGTTTGGGTTGGAAGAGACCTTAAAGCTCCTCCAGCTCCAACCCCTGCCACAGGCAGGGACCCCTCCACTAGAGCAGCTTGCTCCAAGCCTCTGTGTCCAACCTGCCCTTGAACACTGCCAGGGATGGGGCAGCCACAGCTTCTCTGGGCACCCTGTGCCAGCGCCTCAGCACCCTCACAGGGAAGAGCTTCTGCCCGAGAGCTCATCTCAGTCTCCCCTCTGCAGGTTAAAGCCATTCCTCTTGTCCTGTCCCTACAGGCCCTTGTCCAAAGCCCCTCTCCAGCTTTTTTTGTCAGCTCCTTTAGGTATTGGAAGGCCATTGGTGTGGCCATGGTAGATATACTGTCTATCATTTTCATCACACAAAGGAATTGCTCATCTCAGCCAGTTGCCTTTTTCTCTTTGTTGCATCTCCTCTGTTGAAATGGGGTGGGTTGTAACAAGTTGTTCTTTCCTCAGGGGGTATGTGAAGAAATGACCTATGGAGAAATTGAAGTCAAGTATCCAGATGAGTTTGCATTGAGAGATCAGGAGAAATACCTTTATCGCTATCCTGGAGGCGAGGTGAAGACCCTTAGAGAATAACAATGATACAGTATATATAAACCAAAGAGATATGTGTAGAATTGAAAGACTTGACCTATTTTTTCCTTTCTCTGCCAATATTTGTGTGAGCAACTGAAAACATTAGGATCCATAATTGTCTTTCAGAGAGAAGGTTCATTGATTTCCTTTATCATGGTGTGCAGATGATGCCTTTCAGTCAATGAACTGAGCCACTTCCTGAGTCCCTTGATGCCCCCCTTTGACACTGAGGGGCTTCTGCATCCCACTCATGTGGGCAAAGCCTGAATTTTCACCACAGAAAATGGAAAGGAGATGAATGTGGGGGTGGTGTGGAGCCGTTTCTGGGTGTACCTCACAACCTTCAGTGTATAACTGACCATTTTATGTTTTTGTTATGGCGCTCCTGAAGAGTTACCCGTAATCCAAACCCTCCTGTAATCTGCGGGTTGCTGACCTTAAGTTTCACCTTCTGCTCTTTGCCGTTTTCTCTCCCTGTGTTCACCAGATCATCCCTAAATGTGTGCATTTTGATGCTGAAATTGATGATTTCCTGAAGGTGAAGCTGTGCTAAAATTGCTGCTGCTGCTTTAAACCTCTGTTTACGAAATGCCTTGACAAATTCCCATTTTGTTTTCCAGTCCTACCAGGACTTGGTCCAGCGCCTGGAGCCGGTAATTATGGAGCTGGAAAGGCAAGGCAACGTCCTCGTCATCTCCCACCAGGCGGTTATGAGGTGCCTCTTGGCTTATTTTCTTGACAAGAGTGCAGGTACAAAAATAAGCGAGCGGTGGAAGGGGCTGGCTTCTCTGCTGCTTCCTTTGCAGGGCGTCGGGGAGGGTGGCTTGTAATTGCTGTTTGGATTTCTCACAAGGCAAGAGGTGCTTAAAAAAGCAAAGCAAACATTGCTCACAGACTTTAACCATTGCAGTTCAGTGGGGCAGGGAGCAAGAAGCTCTCCCTGCGTGAAGTGCAGAAGAGTGTGCTGCTCACTCTGCTCAGCTGCTGTTTCACCGGTGGCACTTATGTATTCTATAGGGACTTTATTTCAATGTAAAGGGGAAGTTTTGTGGTGCATGGGGACCCAAAGGGTTGGCAGTTGTGCTGCATTGCTGATTGATGCTGATCCTTTCTGTGGCATACTCACCTGGAAGCTAGTTCCAGTGCAGGCTCCTTTGTGATGCTCCAGTGAGTGGCACTGGAGTTTAGTAAAGCCTTTAGTAAAGTTTATTCACTCCAAGTAGAACTCCCATAGGTCCATGGCAGCTGTTGCTGTGGTGCTTTCCTACCTGTGTGCAGCTGGAGAGGCTTCCTCTTGTTGGCCCCATGTGTTGGGAATGGTGGGTTTGGTCCCGTCCCACTGCTGCATCCAGTATTGCTATGTGAAATGTTCCCACCCAAAGCCTGGGCAGAGTGGGGCGGCTGGTGTGGGCAGCACCCCATAATACCCCAAAACGCCTGCCTCTGTCCTAGATGAGCTGCCCTACCTGCGATGCCCTCTCCATACCATTCTGAAGCTCACACCTGTGGCATATGGTAAATACTGTCTTTTCTTCCCCTGGTGTGTATGTGTGTGTGTATCATGGGGTGGTTTGGGTTGGGAAGGACCTTAAGATCATCTACTTCCAACCCGCTGCCATGGGCAGGGAATCTGACGGGCAGGTTTGTGTTCATGTCTGGCAGCAACCAGCTGAGCTGTAGAAGCTTCTGGTGGTGTATTTAATATATATAACGGTTCTGGACTGTGGGAGGGTTTGGAGGGAGCAGTGGGAGAGGAGATATGTGGGTACCAGGGTGTTTCCATCTCCTACACAAGTGATAATTATCTCTGGATTTCAGCCATTGGTGAGGCTGTTTGTGCCTCCAGTTTGGGGTGCAGTCAGTTAAAAATGGCTTTTTATGGATGGACCTATAGTCCCCATAACAGGGCTGAACCGTGAAGGTCAAAGCCAGAATGTAGTTCAAGTGTAAAGTCCTGTTTGTTTGAGCTGTCTTAAAACTGGAACCCATTTATTGCTGCTCACTTTCCATGCTGTTTCCAGTATGAAAATAAAAGATGATTATTTCTTAAGTTACCCTTCCTCATATTAACTTCTCTTGTGGTAAAGGCTGTAAAGTGGAGACAATCACCCTGAACGTGGAAGCAGTGAACACCCATCGTGACAAACCCTGTCTGAACTCAGTAAGTTCTTGCTGCACTGCTCGGGCTTTATCCCATTCCAAAAGTAAGGACCCTGAAACACTCCTCAGTACCTGCTGTCAGTGAGCACAAAGGCTTGCTTCAGAAAGAATCCCCCCCCCAAAGCAGAACTAATAGGGGGTGGAATTAGTTTGTTTCCCAGGCCAGGGAGAGATGCTTTCAGAGCTATTGTAGGAGGCAGAACGGGCAAGTTTAAAACAGAGATCTTGGAGTTCCTGGTCTCAGTTGCTGAAGTTGTTGTTGCTTGTTTCTCTTAATGGTGATAACTTCAGAAAGAGTTGCCAGAGTGTTTGGAAGTGATTTATTTTTCCTTCAGTGTCTTGATGAGCTTTTCTCTTTGTAAAGCTGCCACTGGGGTAAGGCTGGGTTCTAGGGGTGGTTCTTGGTGGCTCTCGCAGCCCTTGCGGGGCAGGAGCAGAGGGTTTTCCCTTGTAAAACACACAAGACATCAGCAGAGACAAGTATCTGGGGCAAAGCAAGACTGCGGTGTTCCTAAACTTTGTATGTATTGGAGGCATGAGGAGATGGGTCCAATTTATTTCCCTTGCACCGTGAATCCTCTTGGAGCAGCAGTGGAAACACTTCAGGCTCTGGCTTTATTTATGAACTCCTGTCTCCCTTTACTTCAATGACTGCTCAGCCATCCACCTTGTGGAGGCACCACGTAATTATGTACTGAGTCTGTGGAAGCTGCTGTTACTGTAGGTGCTTGCTTCTGTAAATGCAGCTTTGCAAAGGGATTGATCCATCAGGGAATGGTGCATAGTGATTGCCTGTAATTAGCTCCCCCGATTAAAGAGCGTAAACCAGCTCTCTGCTGTGCTAGCTCACAGGAAATCAAAGTGCATCACATCTTAAGTTCTTTTGCTATGTTTAGGCTTTTTAGCTGCTTCTTGTTGTGCTGTATAAAGAGCTATTGGTTGATTGTCTGGGATATAGTTGGTTTTTGTGTCCCAACATAAAATCCCCTATGCCAAGGGACCATAAACGAGGAGAGAAGAGACTGAGAACATGCATCTGTGGCTGGAGGGATTGTGGAGCTAAATCCAGCTGATTGCAAAACACTAAACTGAGGATATTCAGCAAGGTTTTTGTGCCCGGTCCCGTGCTGGTGCTTTCCAGTCAGTCACTGATTGCTTTGCGACCTCTGTGTGATGCCTGTGTTGAAATCATTGCTCGCCTGGAGAAGTGGGAGGCTGTTTCTGTTGTTCTTGGCTTTACTCGGGCAATGCGGCTGCTTTGGGGGAGAAGAAACACAAAGAATGGAAAGTTTTTCTATTTCTAATTATGCTAAATTGATTGTGGGGAGAAAAGGAAAATAAACCCCAAAATGACCCAAAACCACCCCTTCCTGAGCAAAGCTAAGCAAAAGACTCTCAAAGGGAAGTGAAACTGCTCAGAAACAGGCTTTTCAGTGGCCTCCGAGGCAGATCAGCCAAGCGGATGGGGTGTTTGCCCCTGCTGGTGCTCTGCAGGGGAGGTGTGCGCCGTCGTGGATGCGTTTGTAAACTGTGGTTCCCCTTTTCATTCCTTGTGATTCCCTCCACCCGGGATCAGAGCAAGCTTCCCTCCGGCCAAAGCCCTGCGAGGATGAGAAGGAACAGCTTTACGCCGCGGGCCAGCGCGGACACGGTAAAGCGCCCGCGCCATTACAGCGTTGGGAGCAAACCTCTCGACCTCGTGGGGCCTTTCCCATCCCTGGAAGCTCGAGAAGGGGCCGACCAGCAGCAGCTGCAAGTTGAGGTCCAGGTGGTACCTTCTCTGTGTTTCCCTTCCCCACCATCACCCGCAGCTCTCAGTGGTCCTGTCTGGAATGCAGCCCATTCCCAGGGGCTTTGTTTCCCTGTAAGAATCCTCCTGGATTAGACACTCATAAACCCCAAAGTCACCCCATTAAACTAGAATTGTGGTGCCAAAGGCTTTCAGAACCAGGTTGGTTGGGCCTTGGAGCAACCTGATTGAGTGGAAGGTGTCCCTGCCCATGGCAGGGGTTTGGAACTGGATGGGCTTTGTGGTTCCTTCCAACCCAAGCCATTCTGTGATCATCAGGCTTTGTGCAGGTGAGTTTCCGTCAGTGCAGTAGGGTTTTGGCAGGGTGGCTGATTCTGGGTGATGCTTTCTGGCAAAAACCCAACTGGAAGGAGTTACAAGTATCCTCTTTGTCTAAATTAGATGCTGCAGCCAAGTGTTGCTCCAGTCCCTGGTAGGAAATACTTGAATCATGACTTTGTCAGTGCCTGTTTTCTTGCAGATCCCGTTGTCAGCAGCTTGTTGAACAAAGTTTGGGCTCTTTGGGTGCCGAGAACAGAGCAGCTTTGGGTGCTTGGTGTTTCATCTGGCTTAAAAAAGGCACCAAGGCCCTCATCAGTGTTGGGTGCAGAGTCCCATTTGTTTCTTTGCTCATTTAAACTTGTTTTGCTGTTAAATGAGGTGTTAAATTGAGGTTAAATGAGGTTAAATTGAGGTGTGTGCCTGGGAGAGCACAGGCAAAGAGGGGGACTTTGAGGAGGTCTTGGCTGGGTCCTACAGAGTCATAGAAGTTCGGGTTGGAAAGAACCTATGTTGTAACATGCAGAGTAATGTGCACATTACATGTGTGTTGTAATGTGCAGAGACAGCCATTACCAAAGCTGTTTAATCTTGGATACTTTAGAGGTTAATGTTTCCCCAGCTATTAGTGAGCCCAGCTTCCCCCCCTTCCCTCGGGGTAAGTGGCCAGAGAGCAAAGGAAGGGGTGATGCAGCACGGGTGAACATTGCTGGTGTTTCCATGCTCGGTTTAGAGCATGAGGCTCAGGCATCCCCAGAATCCCAGGGCTCTGGTGCACCGAACCAGCCAGGGCTTTGCATTGGGGTGGATTTGAGCCACAGCAATTCTGCTTCATGCCTCAGCTGGAGAGGACCTTGATGGCCTGAGGTGGGTGCCCCAGAACAGGGATCCCCCCCCCCCCCGTTTGCAGTTGTACCCTTCATCCTTGTAGTGATGAAGGAGCATTTAGTAAGGCCTGGGTTCTGGGCTGGCTGTGTGGTAGGGAATTGTCCTGCCCCAGGACCTTTTGCCTGGATGGAGCCCTTGGGATAAGCAGCAGTGGAGGGAGGAGGTGGCCAGGCACTGCAGCACTGTCCATGCCTTGTATCAGCTCCTCTGTGATACAAGCCTCCCCCCAGCTCCCTGACATGGCATCTTTGGGGTTGCTTCACTTCTTTCCTCATTTGCTTTGCTGCTTTTCCTATTATTTCAAAATCTCCCTTAAAATGCACTATGAGCTATCCTGTGCTGTTTCTTCTTTCCTTTGCAGCCTCAAGGGGGAATTGCTTGCCTGTGAGTATCACTGAAAGCAGCTTCTATGTACTCTCTTTTGGTTTAGTAAGTAGGACTTCTCTTGATTACTATTGCATGGAATCTACTTTGGTGAAAGACAGATGCATGGAGCAGAAGGAAGTCTTTTCCTTTGTCATTAAGGACCTGTCATTAAGGGGGACCTCAGTGGGGGAGAAGTATGTTACCAGGCTGAGCCCACTAATCCAGGGGCTCCAACTGGTTTTACTGGTGAATATGCTTCTGATGGCTGCCCATAAAGCGTGTTTCATCCTGAGCTTGCTTCATGCCTGGACCAGGACGTGGAATGGCTGCACTGGCACTGCCAGGCTGAGCCATGCAGCCCGTCCTGAGCAGTGCTGGCTCCCATATGTGTCTCCTTTCCATCTGGTGACCCATGGATGGCAGAGATTTTGCAGGAGTTGTTGGATTTTGTAGGCTGGATGGGAGTGGTGCTGCTCAGCCCCAGTTCCCCATGGCTTGAGGGAGCTGGGGGGGTTTAGCATGTGCTTGACAAGTAGCTGGGTGGATAAACCTTCCTGTGCAGGTGCCTGTTGTCACTGAGTCCTCACCACCACGTCCCTTTTGAGGCCGCTTGACTGGGGGAGAAGGGAGTGTGACTCTCTCCCACCCTAAGGGGAGAACATGTCCTTGTCTGTCCCCCTCTCTTTAGGGAGCCTGCAGCCAGCATCACCCACGAACCCTTGGCTTCCCCCTCAACCTCTGAGTAAGGGGCTTGGATGAGACCACGGCTGCTGCCCCATGCACAAAGGCTGGAGATGCCCTCGCTTCGCTGTGCTCCCACCAGCCCTGCTCTGCTGGTGCCTGGGGCAGACCCTGCTGCAACCCTGCTCTTGGCTCCTCGGGTGTTTCTCCTCCTGCAGTACACACAGTGCTGATGGGTTTTGTCTTGTGAAGGGGGGTTTTGCTGCATGGGGCTGTGGGATGGCTCTTGGCAGCTCTCACAGTGCATCCTCTGCTCTGAGCCATGCTCATCCCCATGCACTGCGGTGACCCACAGTATCTGGCTGCATCCCTCATCTTTGGGATAACAGTGATGTCCCTCTCTGGGAGCAGCAGGCTGTGCTGGGGAGCACCCAAGGGTGGTGGTGCCTAAGGGTGGGCTCAGAGATGGCACAAGCTGTGTCCTTGGGGGCTTGCTGTTGCTGCACATGGGCTGCTGGGGTTGTTGCTGACCTGCTCTTGCTCTCAGCAAGGCTCTGCTCCCTCCTTGCCTCTGCCCTTGGGCAGATCCTCTCGCTCCTGGTGCTCTGGTGTCAGAGAGCTGGGTTATGTGCAAAGAAAGTAAAGCAGGAGCTGGTTCAGTTTCCAGATGCCAAGTGTTGAAACAGGGTCCAGGTGTGGGTGGTGAGCTCCTGTTTCCCCTGTGGCAGGGTGGTCCCCTTGCTGTCGTAGGATGCAGCTCATCCCTTCCAGGGAAGGGAGGTGCAGCTCCTGCCTCTGCTCAGGTAATGTTCCTCCAGCCCTGAGAAACTCCCCCTTGAATGTATTTGGCTTTTGGATGTGCAGTTTGCTGCTTTAATTGCACTTTGTCCTTGAAGTGAAGCTCTTCCAACCATTCTGTCAATGCAGCTGCTCTTACTCTGTCACCGCGATGTTATGGGACACAAAGGTATGGGATTGATCCCAAAGTGACATGCCTCTGTTTGCTAGTTTGGGGTAGCATTTTGAATAATGCTGCAGAGTGTTCTTACTGACCTGCCAAAGCTGTGGAAGCGCACAAAGCATCAGGCTCAGGTCCTACTGCAGAGCATCTCCCAGGCTGGGATGGCAACTTGAGAATGGTCCAGCCAGTAGTGATGCCAAAAGGGCCTGTTTCTCCTAAAGCTGCCTGTCTCTCTGTGTTTCAGAGGCCTTAATGTTGATGATGAGGGGGAAAAGGAGAAAGAACCTGAGCTGGGGAGCTTGTGCTAAATCTGAGAAATTATTCCTGTACTAATATTAATTTAGAATCCAATCAGAGGAATATTATCCATAGGCTAAAAATCAAGGCCTTGCCCCTTTGGATTTGCCTTTGCTCTGGGCTGTGTGGTTAGAAAATGAATGTATGTACTTGGAGTGCTTCTTTCCCCCTATATTTAAACAAATAACACAGATTTCCTAGGAGGGGATGCAGATAAATGATAGCAACTTGGTCCAGCTTCCTCGATTCCAGTACAAACTTCCTTCCTTTCTAGTACTGCTGTTTTGCTTGAGAAGGTAGCATGTGAGCAGCTCTTACGGATTAGCCCTGATGATGGTTACTCTCGAAGTGTCCTTGTTGGGAAAACTGTTTTAATTTTCCTTTGCTTTGGTTTTTAATTGCAAATAGAACATATGCAGGGTCTGGAATTCCTGACTGCTGGATTTCAGCAAACTGGCTCCAGAGCTGTGCCATTGGTTCTCTTAATAGCAAACCAGTGCTGGTGCAGTAACAAAGACAGCTTAGACCTATTGATTCACACATTGGTTTGCAGTGTGAGCGCTGCAGCTGAGCAGGGCAGGCACTGGCCATGGCACAAAAGGAGCCTTTTCTGTGCTCTGAGACATTGCATGAACAGCAGCTGTAGGAAATCCTGGTTAATGGGTTTTAACTTGTGTGATTTGTATAGAACAGAATTCACTTGTACTGACCTGAGTGTGTTTGTGGTGTCTGTTGAGCCCTCACTGAGGCAGTAGTTTTATCAAAACTAGAAGTATTTATTGTGGTTAATATGTGAAATGATTCCTATAATGTTTCTTTGTTCTGGAAGTGTATTTTCCTATGGAGAAGAGAAATAAAAGTGAGTAACCCTCAGTAACCAGCCTGCTTCATTATTGCCTCCAGAAAAGCTGAGCTTGCATGGTCCCAGGGTGGGAAACCCTTCTCATAGAGCTTTGCAAGAGGTTAAAGGATGATGCAAAGTGTGAAGCAACTCATTATTTGCTGGGGTAGAAGTAAAGAAGAAAACCCTTTGATGGTCTCAGTCATACAGAATGATTATATGGATGCTGGAATGATGCAGAGTGATTATATGGAGCTGGTGGATCCCCTGCGAAGTATCTCTGTCCATCCCCAGCACTAAGCTGAGCTCTGCTGTCCCTGCTTTACATCTCCTGACTTAGCCTTGGTCTAACGTGTCCGTTTCTCTCTCATTTGTAGAGGATGGCCAGTTTAACGGTGTAGAGGTTTGGCTTTCATCTGGGATTTCCACGGCTGGGAAGAGCCCTGCGGCTGGACTTGAGCATCCCTGGAGCGCAGTGAGCTGCTGCCGCTTCGGCCCACCCTCTCCTCTGAAATGTGTTTTTAGAGCCTCTCTGTGTCTTTTCTTTCTGAATGCTGCAGTGTCTGCCCATGGGATTGGAGAAGGATGTGAGCTAATTTATTCCTGGGCTTCCTGGGGTCCCCTGTTTGTCCTCCTCATCAGGTGGCGAAATTAACTGCAGTGTATGCAGGACAAAATGGTCATACTCATACTCACCAAAGCAGCTTTTCTTTGGTGTAAGCAGACCAAATCCCCAAGTTCTTATTTAGCTGTTACCATCTCTAATGTCAAGTGCAGTACTCGTGGTGTTTAACCGTCCCCAGAGCTCCAGGCATTGCTCAGCTTTGTTTTCAGGACTCCTGATTTAAATCCCCAGATCCGAGCTGGTTCCTTTGCTCTGGGAAGGCTTTTGCTCATCCTATAAAACACACGGCGCTTGCTAGGTCAGCAAATCCTGCGAGGGGCAGAAGGGAATCAAACCTCCTGTCCCTCTCTGGAAAGAGCTTAGTGCTGTTGAAGCTGAGCTCAAGTCCTGCTTTGGCTTTGCACCCAGATCTAAGCTTCCTCCTCTCATTTTTCCTGTGTTCTATGGACACTTTTATCTGTGAGAACAGAAAACGAGAGCATCACTTTGCTCTCAGGGCCACATGTGCAGGGCTTGCTAGAAGCACAAGATCTTTTACCAGTTGTCTTTTTAATGTACCGAACTTAAGCCCACCAACAAGGTTTTTAAACTTGCCTATGAAAAAGCTGTGAATGATGTTGATGTATAATGCTGCTTTTAATAGAGTTTAAGCTGCTTTAGTGTTCAGTGCATAGGTGAGGAAGCTGCCGTGTGGTGCAGCTCATGTGTTACTTAAATCCCCACCAAAACTCCAAATTGAGTTTTCTCCCACAGATTTTGACTTGGAATCATAGAACCCCAGCCTGGTTTGAGTTGGAAGGGACCTTAAAGCTCCTCCAGCTCCAACCCCTGCCACGGGCAGGGACCCCTTCCACTGGAGCAGCTTGCTCCAAGCCCCTGTGTCCAACCTGGCCTTGAGCACTGCCAGGGATGGGGCAGCCACAGCTTCTCTGGGCACCCTGTGCCAGCGCCTCAGCACCCTCACAGGGAAGAGCTTCTCCCTTATCTCCAACCTAAATCTCCCCTCTGACAGTTTAAAACAAAACCAGTTATGCCAAACTCCATTTTATCCCGCTCCTACCCTTCTTGAAGAAAGGGGCGTTTAGGTACGAAGCAGGAGGCTCTTCTGGACCTGCTGTTTCAAGCTGACTCCAGGTTTCAAGTTGCCTCCATAGCAGCAACTTCTGGGACCCAGGTTGCTTATTTTAAATGTGGGAATAGATGTTGGCCATACCCAGAGCAGGGATTTGTGCCTGAGAAGCACTGCAGAGGAGCTCAGCAGCCCTGAAGCCTGAGATTTACCTGGAGATTTTGAGCTCAAATCTGGGTTATTTTAAGCACTCCAGACTTGTAAATTGATAAAGCTGAGATAGGAAGGGGCATGGCAAAGGCCCAGATATTAATCCTCACCCCTTAGGATTTCTGAGGAGCAGAAGCATGTGTTAATCTAAAGCAATTGTGCCGCAGAGGAAAGAAATTGAGTGGGTGAGAAACTGAGTTGTCATAGTTTTGTTCCTTCCGCTGTTCTCACGGGGGCACAGGTTTGCTGTGCAGGAGCAGAGTCTGTTCTTGGGTTTTAAATGTCACAGTGCTTAGAAACGAGCCAAAAAACCTTGCAGGAAGAGATTTCCAGCCTATTACATGGTGGTACTCGCTGTCACACTCCAGTGATGCTCTAAACGCACAAAGCACATTGGGCTGGCTGCTCCTGTCCAGCCATCTCCTGCTCTGTGAGTAAAAAAGGAGTAGCAATGTACTGTAGGATGTTTATGCACAATATGCAGTAATAACTTGTGGAGTTAATTCTCTTTGTATCATTGAGTAGTTAATGGCTGTAAGGAGACAAAATACATGTTTTTACCTGCCAGGATTCATGAAGGCAGCTACTATGATGTTGGTTGTAATTAATATTTGTATTAATCACTGTCAAAAATCAGGTCTCTGGGTCCTTATCACTGACTGTGGGTACCTTATTCCTGTTGTGGGTCCTTGCTTTGGTCGTAGGCTGCTGGGTCATGGGACGGAGCCTCTCAGCCACCTCTGCAGATGGCAGTGTTCGTGCCTTGTTGCTTTAATCAAAGCCTAATAATAGCCTTTTCCTCCTGCATTTTAACTTTCAAAAGGCCTAAATACAGGTGTCCAGAGCAGCAGCAGACTCATGATCATCATTGTTGCCATGTGGGTGAGTCATACCTGCCATGGTCCCGGGTCCTGCTGAGCCTCTGGGGGCAGTGGGGCTGGGACGATGCTAGTGACCCCACACATCTCCCCAGCCCCATACAGGTTCCTGTGCCAGGTTTTTCCTTGAAATCACCTGATTTCCTTGGCACTGTGCGTGCAAACACCCCCGGATAAACAGCGATTGCACAATGGGCTGAACTGAGGCTCAGCAGCTGCTTGTGCTCTCGGTTGTACTGGCACTGGTGTGTTGGGCTGGGCAGGTAGAGGTGAGGAGCTGGGAGGTGTGGAAGGGGGCTTGGTTCCTTCAGGAGCATTGCTTCATGACTTGGGGGTTTTCTGTGTTTCCCTCACTTTCTGTGTCTGTTTCTAGCAGCAGAGGTGGTGGTGGTGGCAGCCACCCTGAGCTCTGGTCCAGGGGCCCAATGGCTGCTCTGTCAGCATTATGGGTTATTTTAGAGAGCAGTGATCTCAGGCAAAATCTGTTCCATCTCTGCCACCAGTGATGGGGAAAATCAGGCAAGGAAGAAGGCTTCAAACCAGCCCAGGTAGCTGGAGTTTGCATACACTGCCTGCACCATTAGAGCTGCCACCACTGTAAGTCATCCTATTGCTGGTAGCTTGGCAGCAGGTGATGGGGAAGCCTTGGGAGCAGCAGCATTGCTGTCAGTGCTTCCAGCAACCACCAGCTCCATGGGTACATCCTAAACCCTCACCCTGTCCTCCTTCAAAGGGTGCTGCTGGTGCCACCTCTGCCTCTCCTGCTGCTGCTCTGTCCCTGAACACTGTTTGCAAATGCATCTTTGTGTTTGGTAAGATCGATGTTACATGTCTACTTGCAATTTGGCTGCACTACTGCTTCCTAACGTGATTTTTTAGGTTTCAAAGAAATGCAGTGTATATAAACCTGTGCTGTTTGTTGTGAACTCTCTGCACTTGAGCATAAATATCCCATCAGCATTTATTTACAATAAAGAGATTTTGAAATAATACAGATCTAGTTCTCGCTGTTATTTTCCATTATTAATTATTTGCTCTATTGTGGGCTGGTTTTCATAGGATCATGGAATGGTTTGGATTGGAAGGGACCTCAAAGCTCCTCCAGCTCCAACCCCTGCCACGGGCAGGGACCCCTTCCACTAGAGCAGCTTGCTTCAAGCCCCTGTGTCCAACCTGGCCTTGAACTCTTTCTAGATGAAAAACAGAGGAGCAACTGGTGACACTGATTTCCAGCAGCTGGAAACCAGCTTTTCCCAAAGGGACTCTCCAGTTGCAGCCTGAAGAGATGTCACCTTGGATGTGGTCAAGGAAAACCCCTTTTATCCTGCTTATCCCATTGCAAGCTGTGGATTGAGGAGGTCTTAGGAGTGTTTAGTGCTGTCAGAGCAGGCGATGGCTGTACCTTGGCTGCTGCTCCCTGTGCACATACTAACAAGCCTGCTGGGAAGCTGCTGCTTTTCCAGCACACGAATTGGCTTGTTCTGACCCATAATGGGGAAACCAAATCCTGAAAGCCTGTTTGTGTTTGTGATTAACTGGATTCTTGTCAATATTTAGTGGAGGTCAAGTGCCTGCTCGGAAGTACCAGGAGACCTGATGTGAGCAAGCCCCTGCTTGTGGGGTGAGGGCAGGGAGCCTTTTGCTGTGCTTTATAGAATAAAACCTCTTATTGTTTCATTGCATTTCTGGCCTGAGCCGAGGCGAGCTCCAGGAAGGGGATGTATCCCTCTCAATGTAGGGATGATGGGGTACCTTTTTCTGGCAAAAAAGGCCTTGGTTTTGGCAGAACAAACCAATGTGAGAAGCACAGCCTGGGGTGAAAAGTCCATCATTGCCAGGTTCTCGGTGGTGATTCAAGCATGGATGAAGCTGAAGTGCAAAAGGAGCAAAGGGCTCAGTTCCTTCCAAAGCTCTTGCAAGTGGAAAATGACCCATTGGGGACAGCTGCATTTGGGAAGGGCTTTCAGTGAGACAAAGGGTAACTGCGTTCCCATTGTGGACATGGATGTTGAGCACCGAGCTGATGCTGCCTGAGACCTGATGTGCTGCTGAGCTTCAGCTGCTTTAATGGAGGTAGGTGGAGTTGGTTGAGGAAACTCTACTTTGAGCACTTGCCATAGGCTTTTGAGGTCAGGAGGGATCAGCTCATGGTTGACATTGCCCCAGGGTGAAGCAGTCTCTTGAGGAGCTCCCTGGGCATCACCTGGGGATCAGCACTGACCGGGTGCTGTTGCTGCACAATGGAATGGGCAGCGTCCTGCTCAGCAGGGATCATTCCAGCAAGGAGCTGGCAGCTCCGCACAGAAAACAAACAATTTCAACATCTGCCCGGGCTGCTTTCAGTTTTCCACTGTTTTGCTTTGTGGGTTGAACAAACGACTTCCTTCTTGCTCAGAGGAGGGGTTAATGATTTATGGGTCAATGGCACAAGGCTGGTCTCTGCAGGACTCAAACTTTTCTGTGTGGAGCGTGTAGGCTTATCATAACTCCTCCTCTAGCCCTGCAGTGACAGGAGGGCTGGACAAGGACAGTCATCCCTTTGTCTTGCAAGAGCTCAACACGCTGGGTCTCCATCTCCTGTCACCAAACCTCCAGGTAAGACAACTTCAAGGCATGCAGCTTTAAGCGATGTTGCTCTTGAACTGGATTGGAGCCTTCTCGTCAAAGCAGGGGGGCAGAAGGATCAGTAAATTAAATCGAATGAAACCAAGAGGGGTAACAAGGATTGAAGGGAAGCCAAAGGAATGAAACAGCCAAGAGTGGTGTTAAGTTTAGGGCAGAAAGCACCAGGAAAGACTTTGTTTCCAGGAGGGAAGGTAGGTGCTTGGGGCATACATGGTGTTGGGAGGGTTGAGGCTCATCCTGGGTAACAGAGAGGAGTCTTGCTGATCTCCAGGGGTACCAGGTTACTCCAAATAGCACTTAAACTCCATTCTGTAAAGCACTTTGTTCTCCTGAAGGACTTGTCTGTTGCATGGCTTTGCTCCAGTTAATGTTGTTTGCACAAAACCGATTTAGCTTCTTGCTTAGGTACTTCTCTCTGTGTAGTTTACTGTTAGGGGACTTACTGAGGACTCCAACAGGACTTCATCCCACTATGGCTTTGCTTCCAAGAGACGCATTACTAAAAATAAATGTTCTACCCCTAAGTTTCAGGGGCCGTTTCCCAGAAGGCATAGATAAACTCATGGCCCGGCAGATACTCATTTGGCTGCTTGGCTGGGAAGAAGGCTGTGTTGGCCATGTAGTGGTTTTGAGTTGAACCTGACAAGCTACAAAGTGTTTATGTTCCAGTTCGAGTCTTTATCTTTCTTTTCCTTTGTTTTAAAAGTTTAATCATAAGCTGCTTTCTCAAAAATACAAATAAATGAGACAAGGGAATAAAGCCCATGGGAACGGCTTAAGAGTTACAGTCAGTTGTCCTGATTGCAGTCTGTTTTTATGTCTTTGGGTCA